AGGGAGTGGAGTGGTATGGAATCCGGCTCAAATACTGTAAAAAGAAAAGAATTGAGCACTCACAGCACAGCAGATAGTAGGTGAAAATACATATGTGTTTAAAGCAACGAAGCCAATGGAATTGCGTTCAAACAAAAGAAAGATTAATTACCAGTTTGGCCTGACGCTGGCCTCAAGGGTCATGCTGAGTGCGTGCATCAAATTTGTACAAGTACATACATACATACATACATTTGTGCATATGCACATACGTTAATACATATGAGTGCAACAACAAAGGAATATGTAATGAAGGCAAGTTCAAAGGGAGTAATACGAACACATATAGGAGTACATTCGAGAAATATTTATGTACGTGTGCCTGGCATAACTATAGTCAAAATAATCCTAGGTATTTCAAATTTTTTACCAGCCATCGAGAATTTTAAAGGCTTCAAATGTAGCAATTATTCGCTTATTAAAAAATATAACGATCTTAACTTAATTTATTAAATTAATCTCCTTAATGAAAAAGAGCATTGAATTAGCATTAATGGACTTGTAAGGAGCGCTGGGCTTCCTGAAAGACAATTTTGTGATTAAATCAAATACAAAATACATATATAATATTTTATTTATTTTTTTAAATTTTGCTTATTTTTTTTTGTTTTATTTTATTTAAATTTATTATATTTCATTTATGGTACTCCTTTCTGGGTTATATATAAAAAATCATTTGTTTTATGTAAAGCAATTTTGCTAAATTAGATAAAGAACGAAAAATTCTTGTTTTTGTTTTAAATAACTCTATTTTACTTCCACTATTTTTTATTTTATAGTTATTTTAATTTTTTTTATTTATTTTAATTTATTTATGAAAAAATAATATGATAAAATAGAGCATAATCTTATCTTTTTTAATTTTTTTCTCATTGTCAATTTTGTTTTAATTTAGTTTATTTATATTTACTATAATTTATTTTTTTTTCATTCGATTTTAATTTATGTTATTTTACTCATTTTTATTTAATTTTATTTGACTTTTTTATTTATTTTCGTCCGATTTTCTAAGATTTTTGAAGAGGTATTAGGAGTTGATCAAGCAACCATTTCCAGACGATTAAAATCATAAGGATTCATCCAGAAGCTTGGAAATCGGGTGTCTTATGAAATAAAGGCAGATACTTCGATTCCGCATGTCGGAAGTGTTGCTTCAACGCCACCAAAAGAAATCATATTTGCATCGGATTATCACTGGCGATGAAAAATTGATTCATTATGATAACCCAAAGCGCAAGAGATCGTACGTGAAGCCCGGCCAACCATCGACATCCACGGCAAAGCCGAATATCCATGGTGCCAAGGTTATGCTATGTATTTGGTGGGACCACAAGGGCGTGCTCTATTATGAGCTATTAAAATCGGGTCAGACGATCAATGGGGACCTATACTGAAAACAATTGATACGCTTGAAAAAAGCCAGCGCGGAGAAACGACCAGAATATGCGACCAGATACGAATCAATAATTTTTCATCATGACAACGCTCGGCAACACGTTGCAAGGCCAGTTAAAAACTATTTGGAAAACTGTGGGTGGGAAGCAACTTCCGATTACCGCTTGTTCAGATCAATGCAGAATGCTCTCACCTCAGTACGCAGCACTTCAGAACAGGGTATCGAAAATTGACTCGATTCCTTCTTGACCTCCAAACCGGAGAAGTTCTTTTGGGATGGGATCCACAAGCTGTCCGAAAGATGGGTAAACAATGTAGCTTCCGATGGGCAATACTTTGAGCATTAAATGTATAAAAAAAATTAAATTAAAATTAATACATACACCCAATAATTTTATTCGACTTCATTTTAATTTGTTATTGTTGATTTTTTTGTGTTTCTTTATTCTTTCTTGGCTAATTTTTATTGATTAATGGTTTTTTTATGTGTTATTTAAGTTATGCTAATATAAATTTTACTTTAGTTAAGTTAACTAATATTGTATATATGTATGAGATATTTTTTTATTTTCTTTATGAGGCTTGATTTCGTAACATATCAGTTTAAATAATCTCTATATTTTTATTTAATTAAATTTATTTCATTTTTATTATTAGCTACTTTTCATAAAACATGTATTTTAGAAAATTTTGTAATAATCCAAATTTTATTAAAACATTTCTTATGCGCCCAAAAAAAGTCTTGACTGAGAGTTCGTTTTTAAACTGTTTAATGTATTCAAGTGTATGTTTATGTGTGTGGGAATTTGCTCAATATATTGCCAATGTTTATTAACACTATTGAGATGGCACATAAAACACACTTGTGTAATTCTTGCTGTCACTCAAATAAATTTACTGGCGTCAGTAAATTTCCTTTATGCCTATATCGACACCCTGACATACACAGAGACATGTTTGTATATATGCACTTAACTTGTGCTGACAGTGGTTGTCGTGGTAATAATAAGTAGAAGCTAATTTCCGCTTCCGTTAGCGGACGTGATGGTAGAGTGGCACGCATGAAAGAGCAAATATCAAGAGGTCTGTAGAAAAAAAAAAATTAAAAAATTTATAAAATAAATGAATAAATAAATGTAATAAATACAAGTCGTTTAACAAATATATGCAACAAGCACAGAATATTGTTTTAAACACTTTTAAAGAAACAATAATAATATTACTTAATATTATATATATTATTTTCCACTTTTTTTTAAGAGGAGGCCCTAGAGTTTTTTTTCAAATAAAATGGTTTGAATTATCATTTGAAAATTCAATTGTAAGTTTAAAAGTCTTTACTCTAAGAAAATATCTGTAAGATATTGAGTACTAAACCAATTACGTTATGAGCGGTTGAAGAAATCTGTATAATATTTATTATTATTTTACTTACTAAACCAAAACCTAAGTAATTTACAATTTTTTCCTGTAGGGTATGTTTATTTTTCCTAGCGCACATCATATTGCCAATATGTCTGTATGCATGAGTTACTTTCTTTTCAATTTTCTTGTGCTCAAAAGTGTCGGTTATATTGCTATTACTACTCAGAAGAACATGCAGCCCATGCCCTTTGCACTTCAAGTCTTCATTATACGCTTTTACTGCACTGCCTTTTTATGGTTTCATATGACTTTGTAAATTGTGTGTTAAAAGTGTAATAACCATCTAAACCCAGTGTGTATATTTCCATTGGTCTCTCTGTTATTAAAAGCAGCGCCGTAGGGCCACTACAGAATACATTGATTAAATCATTCTTTGTTGTAATATTAATGTTGTAGTACTGTTTGAGAGAAAAGAATTTATTTTATTCAATTGTGCATATTTCTGTTAATCTTCTGTTAATAACAGTGTTGCATCAATTTGCTTTTTTTCGCTAACTTGAAAAATTAACTCAACGAAATGAAATCGTTTCCTATATCCAAGTCGATATAGAAAGAAAGGAGATGTATGTTATAGGTCTTCTTACAAGACATATTTTATAGAGCAGGCACGCGGTGAGGTTGGGCGTACAATCGAACGATCTCTGCGGGTGTTCTCTATGAAAGCCCTGCACTTTGGAGAAGTAAGTTGAAGTCTTTAGGGACGGATACCTTTACCGACTATAGCGACGCAGCGGTGGCTAAGATGCGCCCACGCCCAGTTGTAGAGACACCATACATTGGTTTTTTTACCGGTCGGGGGCTATTAGGATACTCAGTGGTAGTGCCCGAAACTGCACGTTTCCTCGACTTCCCGTTAGATGACCTCGGTGACTTCGACTAATTAGCCTGTCCCTAAGTGGGGTTAGTGAACCAAAACAACAACAACAACAACAACAACAACAACAAAAACGGCAACAACAACCATAACAGCAACAACAACAACAACAATATCAGCTTGAAAATATATATCAACTGAAACTTTAATTATATTGTAAAAAAAAATATAATATTTAAAAATTAAGTTTTAGAATTTTTTTATTATGATAATTTATCGGCTTAATAAAAACTCAAAATCAAGAAAAAATAAAGTAAAACAGAATTGCAGCGGAATATATTTTTGAAAGATTTGCGACCTCTTTCAAATAAAAGCATTTGTATCAAGCTGAGAGACTTTTTTACAGAGAAAAATTTTGGTAGAACCGTTATATATTATAAGAATACAATTTTTGGTTTTCTTCGTTGCATAAGCCATACCTATAAGACATGTTATCAATGCCATAAAATAGAAAAATTCTTTTTTTTAGTATATCTGATACGATGCTCATTCGCAAAATAAAATCACTTATATATAAAATAAAAATGTATTCTTACATTGCTGGTTAAAATTTTTCAGAAATAATATTAATAATTTTTTTTTTAAACAGGTTGCTCTAATTTTACGAAATTTAAAGGTAGAAATGTATGTATAATACATTTTTCTTTAAGCAAAAAAAAAGAAAATGAATTTATGTTCTTTTATAGCATAAAATAATTATTTTTCTTTCTTATACCACGACATGTTAATGGACAACATTCTTAAACCGTAAATTAGCACCCAAAACTGATTTTCGTCAAAAATTTTAAATATTATATAAGTCAAATAAATGAGTTTTTGAGCAAATTCGCTTTTTATATTCCATTCAGTTGCCTTTGTTATGAATAGCTTACTGCGAGATATTTGGGTCACTCTGTGGCACCAGCAAATAATTGAATTTTAACTTCGACGCACAAGTATATTTTCTGATTCACACACACACATACACATACATATGTGCTTATTTTATATTTACTTACTTTCTGCCATTCTTTTTTGCTTCTTTTCATTTCATATATTCACGCACACACACGCGTATGTGTCGTTGGCTCTTTTCCGGTAACGTATACGCCATGGATGCCCACTACGTGCCTGCTTCAAACGCATTGCCATTAAATGCTGCTGTTGTATTTCATTTTGATCGCTATTACTCTATGCTTTACGCTCTGACAACACTACACTCTCTTCACCAACATACGGACATCGTGCTTATGCCACCCGATATTACCGTTACCGTTACCGCGTCCAGATGGGCGCACTAATGAAAGAGTCACATACATCACTACGTGATGATTTCGAAGTATCCTGCCGTGAATTGGATGTCCTGGTCGATGCGGCCATTAATTGTTCCGGTGTTTTGGGATCACGTATGACCGGCGGTGGCTTTGGCGGCTGCACCGTTACGCTGCTGCAACGCGTTGCGGTGGACGATGTGATTGCGACGATGCGTACAAATTTCACTAAAGAATTCAATAAAGATGCCGGTGACCGTTTGGAATTCTACATGTGTGTACCCAGTAATGGTGCGAGACGTGTCGATTTGTGAGCTCGCATGCAGACATATGCGTTATGGCGTGTGTTGATGGTAAAATTGTTGGCATGGTAGCTCAATACTAGGAGAAATGTGGGAAACACCATGAGAAAAATAATAAATTGTTAATGAATTAGTAAAGAATGGTTTTTATGTATAGAGAAAAACAAAAAAAAAAGGAAAAGACAATTGATTAATAAACAAATAAAATATACAAAAATAAAATCATTTCCCAGGTGTTTGTTGTAATGAAAAATCATTGTTTAGAGGTATAACACAAAGGTAGAAGGTCATGTTTAAAGCGTAAGTAATTTAGATTTAATTTAATTTTTTCATATTTTTGTCTTTAATTACGAAGATTTTTTTTGTTAGGAAGGAAACTGCAAAACAGATTTTACATTTTCTAACATTTTTTTATTATAAAAAAAAACGAAAGGAAATAATGGGGTTTCCTAGAAGAGCTGATACTTTGAATAGCCCGCAGGTGTCACTTTTGTAATTTTTGGGCATTCGACAAGTGAAACTGCAACACACGCTTCAACAACGCATTGAAATCATTAAAATACATCAATAAAATGGTGAAAATCTGGAATTTTTGGGTCGTCGTGAAGCAGTTTGTCGGACAGCAATACAAAAATTGGTGGGGAAAAATGTGGTTGTTGGCACAAGTTAGTCAAGTGAAATGTAAGCCACGTGCATGTTGTTCCAGAGCAACTTAAAATGTTGTTCCTAAGTAATGAAGAAATCCCAGGTTTGCACATTCCTTGTCGTCCTTTGGAATTTCATAATGACTTGGCTCTCACGGCTTATAAAGTTCAGTCAACACAAGAACTACTCAAACTGGCAGAGCACCAGCAACGTCGTATCTTTGCTAATTGGGTCCTTGAAATGCATGAAATTGATCCGAAATTTTCTCGAAAAATAATTTTACTGATGAAAACTATTTTCACCTCTATTATTACATCAAAAAGCAAATCTTTTGCAACAAGATTTCTTCTTGAAAAGCCTCTGCATTCTCAACGTTTAACTACGGCTTAGCGCAGTTATGGTGAATGGATTGCGCCATCTAAAGGTGATTAGCAATATTTTATAGGCGGATTTGTAGAGTCTTGATCTGTACAACGGCGCTACGTGCTATACAACGATATTTAAGGAAAAATTTCCGGACCGTGTTAGCTCACAAATGGTCACCAAGATCTTGTGATTTAACACCTAGCGACTTCTTGCTTCGAAGCCACGTGGAAGTTAAAGTCTATGCTAACAGTTTAAAATCGAATTAAGACCTCAAAAGTGGAGTTAATGAAGTTATAGGGGCATACAGCAGCCACTTTGCTATTGGGAATGGGAAATTTCATAAAAAGGATATAGTCCTGTCCTGACCTCCGTTTGGAAAACTCTCTGGCGACTCAAAAATTAAATTAGCCAAGATTTCGAAATTATTAACACCAAACACAACACACCAAATTTGAGTAACAAATCCTCGCATTTAAACCCACGCGGCTCAACGGCCAGAAATTATTTTGGATAGAAAAGTGGACGCTGAAAGGCGGGAGTACCCTTTACGTCTCTTACTTATTTACTTTACTGGCGTAGACAGCGATTACGCGATTATAGCCGAGTTAAAAACATTGCGCCGTTAGTTCCTCTTTTAGATGTTTGGCGAGAATTGGTTCTTTTCAGCGGAGTGAAGGTTTTCTTCTTCCTATGCCTGCACCGGCGGGTTCTGCAACGAAAAGCTGGAGTGTTCTTAAAAATCCAGACCACATGATCTAGCCAGATAACCAGCCGCTGTTTCGTGATCCGCTGAACTATGTCAATGTCGCCGTACAACTCGCACAACTCATCCTTCTATCTGCTGCGGTGTTCACCGCACCCAATTCTTAAAGAACCAGAAATCCCACGCAATAGTTTTGCCTCGAAAATATCTAAGGCTTACCCATCAGATGTTGTCATTGTCCATGCTTCCGCACCACATGGCTGGACAATAACGATGACCAACTTCTAAAGTTTGGTTATCGTGCGTCGAGAGAGAACTTTACTTTTCAACGGCCGACTTAGTTCAAAGTAGCATCTGTTGTCAAAAGTAATTCTGCGTTGGATTTCAAGGCTATTATTATTGCTAGTGCTGATGTTGGTTCGTAATAATGTCGACATCATCGGTATATGCCAGCAGCTGTACGCTCTTCTAGAAGATTGTACCTTCTCTATTCAACTTTGTCGCTTGTATTATTTGCTCCAGCAATAAGTTAAAAAAGTCACACGGTAAGGAGTAACCTTGTCTGAAACCTCGTTTGGTACCGAGCGGCTCCATAAGATCCTTCCCGATCCTGACAGAGCTTTTAGAGTTGCTTAACGTCAGTTTACTAAGCCGTATCAGTGCGGGGATACAAAATTCAGAAATATCGGCATAAAGCAGCTCTTATTTGGGCTGTCAAAGGCTGGTCTAAAGCCAGCCTGATATGGACCAATCAGTTTGTTGACGTTGGGCTTTAGTCTTTCACATAATACGTTAGACAGGACCTTATAGGCGATATTAAGGAAGTTATGCCTCTGTATTTGGCGTAGGGTTCCATTTTTAACGGATTGGACATATCTGTACGACACCACCACAGATTTTTGCAGCTTCAGTGGTATGGCTCCGGAGAATTTAGGTGCTTAAACGAACTTATCAGCTGCCTCATGCATATATGCCTCTCCAACAGAAATATACGCTGGGGAAAGCTTATAAAAAGAGTAAACATCTCGGAAAATTTTCATCGACTTGTCATAAGTCCTGCTCACTTGGTCCTTGGATAATATGTATCTGACATATGTATACATAAACCCTTTGATCTCGTGTTTCCCCATTCCCAGTATCCCATTTTATAGAGACCAGCTGTAATGGTAGTTTCTTCTCCGAGCTTAAATAAAAGAAGTTTGATTGTACACTCAGTGCGGGCAGTTGTATCTTCTACCAGAATCATTTCTTTCTGCCCTTCAAGAAGCTAAAAAAAAACGCCATCCTATAATCTCTGCTTCGATAATCTTTTCTACACAAGAATCCCAAATAGATTCCAGAGGGAAAACACCAACGACCCCGACCAGGGAGCAATAGCCATCTTCACAGACGGCCCAAAGCTCGATGGCATTGTGGGTTGAGGAATTTATTCTCCTGCGCCGGATCATAGCAGTGTTTAGGGCGGGACTTTTCGCAATCATGGAGGCCGCGGATTGGTTGCACAAATCTACGGCAGCTGGACAATCAACTCCGACACTGAGGCTGCAATCAGATCTCTTCAACGTATGGGTACCACTTCAAAAGTGGCCATAAACTACAGAAACACTCTCAACAAAATCTCAACGAACTACAGTACTGCCGTGGTATGAGTACCTAGTCACAGGGACATCCCAGGCAATTGCATGGTAGATGAACTCGCAAGAAAATACTTCTCTTCCCCTTCTATCTACGATAAAAAACGCACATGGTGCTGGTTAACCTCCATCCACGGCTAAGTACATGCTTAAACTGGCCTTCACCAGGGAAGCTGACAACACAGCTATGGCCGAAGTTGGACGCAAAAATACTAAACATCTTATCCTACTGGACCGGTTTTTGATTAGCATAGCGACGTGTATAATGACTGGAAATTGTTTTATGGGACTTCACTAGATTAGGACGTGCTTTTACTCTAACGATTTCTGCCGCGATTGTAGGGACGAAGAAGAGGAGAGACGATCGTCCCCACATCTGCCACTGTCCAGTCTTGACATCCTTGCGACACTTCTTCGACTGTCTCGCTGCATTGGACTTAGTGAACATTTGAGATATTGTTGCCTTTACTACGCACACGAAATGGTTAGAGAAGTATAAGGCTGGAGCCTCAGTGGTATCACAATGGATCTTTTGGCCTAAGTGTGCTGGGGTTTTAACAGCAGCCGCACCAGCAAAACTCAACTCAAAGTCTCGGCCGAAGTCTTTAACAATCTCATTGAGTATTGCTGCAGAGATATTTGAATTCTGCTCCGAAATTTCAGCAGAGTAAAGCAAGGTTTCCTAAGACAAAGTTCCCAGTGCATGCTCCTCAGGTTTCTGCTAGGCTCCTCCGAGTCTGTAAAAACAGTTTTTGTCTCGACATGGGTCAGAGGATGTTCGAAAACTCGTACTCTGGCGGCACCCACATAGACAGTCCAGCTTTCTCCACTCAAAATATAATTGACGCTTGACTCTCTCTCTCTCTCTCTGATGATTTTGATGTCGCCCATACGCAGAATACATGCCTAGAGCTTGCATCTCGCCCGCCAATTACACTGCAAATTTCTGCTTTTGACTTCAGCAAAAGCCGTGTTCAGCTGCGACGGGGTTATATTAACAAAAGGGGTTTGATATTGTATTTCCAATGAATTTTACCCCTCTATATGTAACTGCTCCGTATATGTAATTGGATTTACAAAAAAGCGATTTTTAAATATGCCGTTTTTTGGCAATTTAGTTTCATATTCTCTCTGTGCCGGTGTTTTGCTCTTTTTTTTCGTTGCAAAATATGCACAATTTCACACCAAAAGCTATTATCACCGACAACTACTCAAATGTTCTGCAACAAAAATGAAAACAAAAGCAACAAAAAAAAAAAAAACAGTGACCCTAACCCCCTTAATTAGTCAAACGAGCGATGGTGTAAAATTTTAAATTACCCACAAACACACACTCACACAGAGACAATCACAGGTCGCACACACATAGTGTGAAATAGTAAAATAACTGAAAAAAACTTAAAACAATATATTGATCAAATAGTTTGTGTTAAATTTCACTGTTCGTCATTGCCGGCACAAAAGGCAATGTTTATGGAATTTTGCGAAAGCTTTTCTGCCATATAAATATATAAAGCAGCTGTGGGCAAAAACAATTGATTGCAAATATCGACAAATGAAATTTTTGCGTGTAGTCAAAAAAATAATGTTAAAATGTGTATTTTTTACAGAAGTGTGTGTGTGTGTGTGGGGGGGAAATAATTTCAAATTCCATATAGTACATT